TTCTGTTCTTACGTTCTACCACTCCATTTTGTTGATGTGATCTTGGGGAAGAGATGTTGTGAGAGATTCCTCGATCATTAAAGAAGTTTTCAAAGGCTCTGCTTCCGAACTCTCCTCCATGGTCACTTCTAATAGTATAAATGTAATATCCTTTTTCACGTTGTACCTTCTTACAGAAGACTTCAAAATTCCTTAGAGCTTAATCTTTATGGTTATGAAAAATAACCCAAGTGAAACAAGAAAAATCATCTTAATAACAAAAGCATATTTTCTACCACCAATACTAGTAGTTCTAGTTGGACTAAACAAATCCATATGCAAGAGTTGAAGAGGTTTAGTAGTAGAAACAATATTTTTGATTTTAAAAGATGAACGAGTTTGTTTTCCTAATTAACATGCATCACAAATTTTATCTTTTGAAAAATCTAGTTTTGGAAGACCAATGATAAAATCACGTTTGTAAAGTTTGTGAATAGTATGCATGCTAGCATGGAAAAGTTTTCTATGCCATACCCAGGGATTATCAATCATAGAAACTAGACAAATTTGATTATCAAGACTATCTATGTTACGATAGTATAGCCATTCTTGTCTCTATTTCCAGAAAGAATAACTTTACCCGATTCGTCTTCAATAAACCAACTATGCTTTTTAAAATGAACCTCATAGTCATTGTCACATAGTTGACTGATACTGAGAAGTTTGTAACCAAGTTCATCAACCAGGTATACTTCATCTACATCACATATTGAGCTGAGATGGACTCTTCTAACTCCAATTACATTCCTTTTTGATTTGTCTCCAAAAGTGACAGTTCCTCCATCTAGTTTGGTGGCTGTCTTGAACAGTTGTTTGTCACCAATCATATGACTGGAACACGCGCTATCAAGATACCATTTTCCTTTTTGATTCTTCTTGCGTTGTTCCAGCAAAAATATTTACTCATTTTTAGGTGCCCAAGCCTGCTTGGGTCCTAAATGGTTAGTGCTCTGAGTATTGGCTTGACTAGAAGGCTTGGGTTGCCAGACCCATCTCCTGTTGTTCTTAAACCTGCAATGGTTAGAGGTATGACCGAGTTTTCCGAAGTAAAAACATGGGGGGTTATTAAAATTTTCAGAGACTTTTTCTCCTCTAATTCTAATCATGCAATGGTTATTGTTGTGCCCATTTTTGCCACAATAAGTACATGTAGAAAGATGTCTAGTTCTAGTCGAAAATTGATAAGGAGTAAACTAATTTGATCTAACTGAACTATGCCTGATGGATTTTCGTAATCCATTCAGTTGAAGTTGAAGTTCATTAAGTTCATCTTGAAGCATATCTCTCTCAATTTCACATACTTCCAACTTCAAAGGCCAGTATTTCTTTTCTCTTTGGATTTTTTGAAGTTCATTAAGAACTTTCTCAATATCTGTAGGAGCAATATCAATGAATTTTTGGAGTTCATGATAGTTAGGACATGTAGGAAGACATACCTCACTTGTTCCTTCGTCTTCCATAAGACCACATTCACGTGATTCTTCATCGCTATCTTCTTTGATGGCCATAAAGCACATGTTGGCGATTTCTTGGTAATCAGATTCTTCTTCATCAATCCAAGCTCCAAAGGATTTCTTCTTTTGAAATTTTCTGCTTGGTTTCTTTTTCGGTTAAGGGAATTTAGCTTGGATGTGTCCATATTTTTCACACTCATCGCATCTTCCGTCATTTTTGTCATTATTATTGTTCATCTTCCCTTTTCTGAAATTTGATTTACCTCTTCTGCTGTTTATGTTCTTCTTCATCATGCTTGTTACAGCTTTGAAAAGCATAGCTATCTTCTCATCTTCTTCTCCTCCCTCCTCCTCCTCCTCCTCCTCTTCTTCTTCTTCTTCTTCTTCTTCTTCTTCTTCTTCTTCTTCTTCTTCTTCTTCTTCTTCTTCTTCTTCTTCTTCTTCTTCTTCTTCAGCTACGGTTTCTTTGAATGCAACTGTCTTCTTCTCTTCTTGTTGAACTTTCATGTCTAAGTATGTTTTCTCAAACGTAATTAGATCACTTCTAATTTCATCATAGGATATTTTGTCAAGATCCTCACATTCCAAAGAAATGACTTTGGGTTGCCAAATCATGGGAAGACTTCTCAGGATTTTTCTTACCTGTTCTCCATTTTTGATTGGTCTACCAAATAATTTTAAGTCTCGAAGAATTTTGCTGAACCTGGAAAATATTTCCTCTACTGATTCTCCATCCTTCATTTGAAATAATTCATAGTCTCGAACTAGAAGATTGATCATTATTTCTTTCACTTTTTTATTTTCTTCATATGTGACCTCTAACTTATCCCACATTTCCTTTGCAGTTTTACAACTTGATATCTTTTCATATTCTTCTCCGCTGATAGTATTATACAACAGATATTTTGCCTTAGCATTCACTTGAATTACGGCTGATTGTTCTTCAGTGTAATCATCTAAATCAAGAGGATCAAATGATACTAAGATTTGACCATTGTCATCCTTCCTTGCCGGAATTGGAAGATTTTCCTTTTTGATCATGCGCCAAACTTTAATGTCATATGACATAGTGTAGGTCTCCATGCGCACTTTCCAATGAGAGAAGTACTGACCATTGAAGTAAGGGGATCATACCTCAGAAGTTCCTTCTTGGAATAGTTCTCCAACGACTCTATTTGATCCCATGATCTTTTCCTCACTTGCTATTAAGCAAAGTTCGTGAGCCTTGCTCTGATACCAATTGAAAGTACAAAAGGGGGTGGGGTGAATTGAAACTAATTAAAAAAACTTGGTCGACATAGAATAGACTTAGTCGACTTCTTATTATCAGCATGTTTGATTGACAAAGAAAAGTAAATTTCAAGGAATTTAAAAATTGAGAACATATGAGTTTTATACTGGTTCAGTACCGGTGTGGTACCTACATCCAATTTTCTTGGGTCACAAGTGGTCTCTTAGATCTTCAATAGTTGATTACAGTAGCAGTACTTTTATGGATCGTTTACCACTAATGATTTTCAGCAACAATGTTTTATAAGCTTGACACAACTCTTGATTTGCTTCCTAACACTTCCTATCTGTTGAGACACTAGTAAACTTAGAAATACAGTGTTTGTGTTAAGAACTAGGAAGACATAGAAAACAGTGGTGAATTGCTTAATTAAATTCTTGAGTCTACCAATCTTCTTATACGAGAGTTTTGAGTAGCCGTTGCAGATTGACCCTTGATTGAGGCACAAAATATTCTAAGAGATTTAACCCAAGGGGTGCCTCCGAATCCTCAACAAGAGATGGGCTGGATTCATTTACGTCCTTTTTCGTATCCATAATCAAGGGAGTGATTTGTGGCTTGACTTGATCAATCAGTCTTCAGAATCTCCAGATTCCAAAACAATCCTTGAAGTAGGACCTAACTTTCTATAGCGGTTGCACTTGATCTTGTTTCCTTTTTTATGGCCTTGACATCCTTTGATTTAGCATTGTCCTTGCTGCATTTGATCTTGTTTCCTTTCGAAAATACTTCCTTTGAATAAGTACCGCCCTCCTAATTTCCTGCAATTAATAGATAAAGTTAGATTTGCACTATTGTCATCATTGAAACTTAGGTGTAACAAGACAAACTATAGCTTATATATGTAACTTACAACACAAAACAAGAAGGAATAGCCCGATGCACTAAGCTTTCTCTATGTGCGGGATTAGAAAAGAATCTTACCACATTGGATCTGATATACACAGACTTACCTTTAATATCAATTAGAGATTATTTTCGCGGTTTGAACTTATTAACCTTTTGATAACATGACGTCAACTTAATTTTATCATTGCGTCAAGACTTTTCTTTCACTTCCTACCCAAAGAAAAGAACAAATCTCTAACTGGGAAAGATTGGAATAGAAACAAGTATTGGCTTACCGAGCACCGACAGATGGAGTGGTAGGAAATAGAAAGGCGGCAACGGCAATATTCATTATTGAGGTAGCACAACATGATGCAATCTATCGCTGATTTGGTCAGACTGTGGACCTTGTCTTTTGTCTCCTCCTATTAGATTGAATGCTACTGTTTTGCTCAACAACTAGGGAAGAGAAGGGGGAAAAAACTAAAGTACAAAAGTTAATATATTTGATCTCGCAAAAGAAAATTATTTTCCATGTTGCCACCAGCAGTGTATACACAGTTTATAATCTCGCTGACCATGTCGAATTTTCGTAAGCATTTCCGAAATCATTTGTGGCATTTCTATATTTTAAATATTAAACCGTAAAACATGGGGTTAAAAAGCAATGAAAATTGTTTCAAGAACCTGATATGCACTATACTTCAAAGCCTAACTACTCCTAAAGAAGCAAAAGGTGTGCTTCAATATGGTGATTCAGAAATATACAACTCCTAATTAAGTAATTACTATAGAGGTTCTTGATTTTCAGGCAATAGGCCTAACAACGATAGTAACAAGTTGAGATGTGGAACCCAATTGCTTGTTTAAATAATGTAATTGTGTTAAAAAATTTATTACAAATATGTATATACATATTAAATTTTGAATCTATTTATTAGCCATTTGAAGTGATTGTTCTAAAATACAAAATTAATAAAGTTAAAATTCTGGTTCCACATCTATAGTAGAGACTTTCACCATACAACTAATACTCCCTCCGTTTTAATTTATGTGAGAGAAGACTTTTGAACTTGTGATGTAAAATGAGGCACAAATATTTTGTGCGGTTATAAATCATTGCATAAAGGTAAATTGTTACCAAATAAGAAAATAAGTCATTCTTTTTGACATGACTAAAAAGAAAATATGATCACATAAATTGAAATCGAGAGAGTATGTCAATAAATATAAATCATATAAAATAATCAGACTAATATGTCAAATTTCTTCCCTCAACACGAGCTGATACATTACCCTAATTTCAAAGCATTGAATAGAACCCAACTATCAGATAATTAATTCTCTCAATCAAATCCAATTTTCTCCCTATAAAAACCCTAAGGTCCTATAGTGTTCTATATCCAACACTAGCTCCTACTCCCTAAAGCATTTATTATATCTTCCCCTAGCTAGATACTTCATTCCACAAATAGTTTGCAGCTTTTTCTTTTCCTCTAAAACAATGGAAATAGCTGGGAAAATTGCATGCTTTGTGGTATTGTGCATGGTGGTAGCTGCACCCTGCGCAGAAGCCATAACCTGTGGCCAGGTTACGTCGAATTTGGCACCTTGTCTTGCTTATCTTAGAAACACGGGGCCTCTGGGACGTTGTTGCGGTGGCGTTAAGGCTCTGGTGAATTCTGCAAGGACCACAGAAGATCGTCAAATTGCATGCACTTGCCTGAAATCAGCTGCAGGTGCTATTTCTGGAATCAATTTGGGCAAAGCTGCTGGTCTCCCTAGTACTTGTGGTGTCAATATTCCTTACAAGATCAGCCCTTCCACTGACTGCTCCAAGTACCTCACTTTTTTTCTCTCTCATGCTATTCTTATCCTTATATTCTATCTGCTTCATTTTCGCTTATCTTTTAAATTTTTTATTCGGAATCTTTATACCAACAACCATGCTAATTCACTATTTATTTATCGAGTCAGTATGCATAGAGTACATATTAACTGTACAAAGCTATACATAAAATATTATACATGAATTATACACATAGCATACATCCTTTAATTAAATTTAGTATAAGCAGTTGAATAAACAACTATTTAGGCTATCTCTTCTTTTTTATTTTTCTCTAAATAACATGCTCTTATATTCGATAAAAATGTTAGGCCTATGTTTAAAGCTACAAAATTTAAGAGTACTTATGATATGTGTCAAAAGTCTTTCATTGTTCGTGTTTAGTCTAACACTGTCATTAAAATAAAATTGAGAGGATTATCCACTTGTTCATTCCAAACAAACTGCATTACAATATTTCGGGCTAATTTGCTCTAATGTTTGTTCAACAATCACGTGGGACCACATTGTGAGATGGACTCAAACAAACCATTAAATAGTGCAATGGGTTTAAAACTGCGAGACAGAGAGTTTAATTACTTTTTAAAACTAGTTCTTGCGTAATATATTACCAATATAAATTAAAACTCCTTGTTTCCCCATTTCATTTGACGTGGAGGGATTTGGAGGAAGAGGGTCAAATAATAATTATAATGTTACATACAGTGAAACAGAGGAAATACATGTTTACTTAGTTAGCCAGAATCAGTTTTATCCTATTTGTTGTTAACTCACAATTGACAAATAATTGTTTTCATAGCGTTGTGTCGTGTAAAGAAGCAGATAATGGAACACTTGCACATTAGCAAGTAAATACTTAATTGTGTAAAGTAGAATTCTTGTGATATGTGAATTTTCTTCGAAATAGAGTATTGGACATGGCAGCATGTGTATTGAATATTGATATTTGCTTGTTGGACTTGTGATGCAGGGTCCAGTAAGGCTGATGAAATAAGCTAATTTTACCCCGCACAATTTGGAAGTAGTGCAATATTGAAGAGAAAAATATGATGTGTTCGTCTATAATCCTACTTATGGATCCATTTGTATTTTGTATCAAGTTGTTGTCTCTTTTTTTCCTTTTTCTATGTCCCTCGAACTCATAGTCCAGTACTGTGTAATAAATTGGCGGTTGTGTTATGGATCTTACTTATGGATCCATATATCTATCTTTTAAACTTTTTTTCTGCTATCTTATATGACTTAACGTCTCCTTTTTTTTTTCGGTTGAAAAGATAATAATAGTATATATGCACAAAAATAGTTACATAGTTGCCGGGTTAATATTCTGAAGAACACCAGAATTTGTATCTACGATTGTATCATTACTATTACAAGCAGTAATTTGCCCAGAAAAAGTAGTTCCTAGTATGTCTGCCCAAACAACTTTATTGACAAACACGGGAGAACTACTAAAATTCTAAATTTATCAACAACAGAAAAAAAATCTTGGCTCCTTCGTTCCCCCGTTTCTTGAGCAACTATTTCGAGTGCAGGAGAATTGGCACCCTGTGGTGGGGCTTCCTGAGATGGCAAAGGTAGGGCATCGGGACCCTGCGGGGGTACCCCTTGTCTCCCGCTCAAACTTTCTTGTAAAGGACCCAAGAAAGGCATTACAGCTTCCAACAACATTCGCAAGAATGAAACTCAAAGGAATTGACGGGGGCCCGCACAAGCGGTGGAGCATGTGGTTTAATTCGATGCAAAGCGAAGAACCTTACCAGGGCTTGACATGCGTGTGGTGAGGTTTTGCCTCACAGAAAGAGTGGGAAATTGGGAGAAAAAAACGAAGAATTTCGAATCTAAAAAAAAAAAGAGATCTTTTTTTCCCCAACGACAAAGGCCAGCAAGTCTGCAACCTATTCTGCTCCCTATAGCAGTGCCTGGCTTTTTGATTCCCCAGCATCTCCATCACGACCTGCATTCATTAATTAAAGAACTATAAGTTTCGTGTCTTTTAGTTAATATATTGATCACTTCTGCAGAATCTAAAATAATATCAATAGGAGTAAGGTTATTCTGGACAGTATTTTAATGACAGTGTTAGACTAAACACGACTAATGAAAGACTTTTGACACATATCACAAGTACTCTTAAATTTTGTAGCTTTAAACATAGGCCTAACATTTTTATTAATATAAGAGCATGTTATTTAGAGTAAAGTAAAAAAGAAGAGTTAGCCTAAATAGTTGCTTATTCAACTGCTTATACTAAATTTAATTAGCGGATGTATGCTATGTGTATAATTTATGTATAATATTTTATGTTTAGCTGTGTACAATTAGTATGTACTCTATGTATTCGCCTGGTTGTTGGTATAAAGATTCCGAATAAAAAATTTAAAAGATAAGCTAAAATGAAGCAGATAGAATAGAAGGATAAGAATAGCATGAGAGAGAAAAAAAGTGAGGTACTTGGAGCAGTCAGTGGAAGGGCTGATCTTGTAAGGAATATTGACACCACAAGTACTAGGGAGACCAGCAGCTTTGCCCAAATTGATTCCAGAAATAGCACCTGACCATAACCCAGTCTCCCTATTTGTGATAACTACTCCTATTCCCCCCACACCTGGGTTTCCTAGCAATGCCTCGCCAGTGTTGAGTTTATATATTCCTCTGTTTGGAGGCTCCTACTTAACATGGATAGAGACCTTTGTAGTGCTCCCCACAAAATTGTTAGAGATGTAAAGATATTCCACAACCTTAGCAATAGTATCAATACGGGAGACAAGCTCTTTCTTATTATTGATACGATTTTTGTCACTACTTAATCAAATGTGCCAAAAACATAAGGGAATGAGATTGTCCCATTGTAATAGATTATTGAAAGTTTTGTTATCGATTTTCTTCCAAGTGGTCAGCCAGTTGTCATTGTAAAAAATAATATCAATCTAAGTAAGCTCATTAGTGCATTGTGCTTTAATATTGGTCCCAAAGGATTAAGTATTAGGGCAATCAAAAAATATGTGCCTAGCATTCTCAGAATTATTGTGAAAAAAAGAACATTCATTTGTAATATATAGGCCAATAGAGTGGAGGTAAGCATTAGTAGAAAGTCTTCCATGATAGAGAGTCCAAAAGAAAAACTTAATTTTATTAGGAGCATTTGATCCGACCGGTCATTTTGAGCTTTAGCACTTCGTTTTGAGACCTTGAGTAGCTTCACATTATGCATTATGACTTGCGTGCATGGTTGGTTTTGATTTTTGAGAGGTTCGAAGTTGATTTGGGAGAGTAATTCTCAATTCGGAAGCTTTAAGTTGGAAGAGTTCATTAAGGTTTGACTTTTGAGTAAACAACCCGCAATCAGGATTTGATGATTTCAATAGATTCGTATGGTAATTTTGAACTTGGGCGTATGCTTGGATTTAAATTTGGATGTCCCTAGAAGGTTTTTGGCTCTATTTGGGCGAAAGTTGGCAATTTGAAGAACTGTAGAGTTCACAAGTTTGTTCGAGAGTTGACTATGAGGCTATCGGGGTCGGATTGTTGTTCCAGGAATTAGAATAGGTCCATTTTGTTATTTGGGACTCGTGTCCAAAGTTCAGGTTTATTCCGGATTAGTTAGACTTGAATCGGAAGTGTGGTTAGAAGTTGGAAGTTTATAATCTTAAGAGATTGATTTTGATCGACGATTCATGGTTTTGATGTTATTTATGGTGTTTTGAGCCTTTGAATAAGTTTGGATAATGTATTTGGACTTGTTGGTATAATTAGATGGGGTCACCAGGGGGCTTGGGTGTCATTTGAGATAGTTTCGGATCATTTTGGTAAAGTTTGGAACTGCTGAAGTTGTTGGTGCCAGTGAGTCATCGCGGTCGCGAAGGTAATTGAGGCAAAAGGGTTTTGTTAATCTCATTCGCAACCTTGATATCACATTCGTGGATAGTCTTGGTCTGGAGGGGGCCGCATTCACGAGATCGGGCACGCGTTCGTGAAGCTGAGGAGTCTTGCTTGGGATTGGTGCCTCGCGTTCGTGCTTTAGATTTCACGTTCACGAAGAGTAGCAAGGGGATGGAGGCAGATTGGCCTCCGCGATCGTGAGGAGGCAGACACGATCGCGAAGAGTATTGACTGGTAGTGTATTCAAGTTGTCCAATTTCGGGTCTTTGCCAATTATTTCATATTTTGAGCCCTAGGCTTCGAGAAGAGGAGATTTTGAAGATCAATTTCACTTCTATAATAGAGGTAAGCAATTTTCACTTGGATTTGGATTTATATCTTTATTACCCATGATTTTCTATACATAAAGCTTGGAATTTTGAAAGGGAATTTGGGGTTTTGCCTACAATTTAAGAGAGAGTATTTTGGGAATTTTAGTACTGAGTTTGAACTCGATTTTGGAAGCTAATTACATATTTGGACTCGGCAGGTTATGTATTGTCATATTTTGGTATTGGTTTTGAATTTCGGGCATGTGGGCCCTGGGAGAGTTTTATTGACTATTGGGAATTTCTTCAAAGATCGAAACTTTATGGATTGGGATCACTTCCTATGATATTTTTGACTTTCTTGGATGATGTTTGTCTTGGATATGCGCGATTGGAGGGCTCGATCGAGGTTTTGACTTGATTCGAGGTTGAAGACTTGCCTAAGCTTAGTCTAAGGGTAATGTTTCCATTGGGTGTGATATTTGTTATATGTTGGGGGTGACATATATGCGAGGTGACGAGCGTATATGCGTGCATTGTGGTTATTCATGATTTGGGTATTATGCATCCTTGATATTATGTTTTCTCCATTTGTATGACTATGTGAGCTATCATTCATGCTAGAAATCATGTCTAGGCTATTTGCTTACGTGTCGAGGCATGATAGGGCTATTTTCCTTAGTCGTAGTCATACTTTTCAGCCTTGATATTATATCCACATGTTATATCTTTATCTCTGTGCACTATTTATATGTTATCTCACATGTTGTTGGCGTCCTTGTACGTGACACGAGTTTAAGCTAAATTGCAGTAGGTTGGTATATTCCGTTTGGTACATTGAATTATGTTTTTGTGAGATGTTGGCATATGAAGACTTGAGCGGATTGATGATTGATTATGGGCCATAGAGCCGATTTGATATTAATAATGAGGTAACGCGTGGGCCAGGCCCCATGTTGGGCTAGATGATATTGATCGTTGAATTAGATTCGATCAACGCTTGGGCAAGAACTCGCCCCGCCGGAGTCAGGTATTAACCGTGGTCGCAGACACATGGTTATTTACATGTGCTTGGTGAGGTACTTGTATCAAGCACCCATAGAGTGCTGAGAGTGTGTATGTGTGTGCATGAGGGCCATCTGCTTTGATACAAGTACCGTGAGGGTGCTTAGATTATGATTAAGAGGTACTTTGTGTCAGGAACTATGAATGTATTGAGATTGTGTACACTTGATATTTAAACTATGATTATTTATTGATTTGGCATATATAACTAACATGTAGGCATAAAGCTGTATTATCTCATGCTAATTGGTATTGGATGACTCTGCTTGATGTTTAGAGCTTGATGTGGATTTTGTGGGAGTTGATGCCTTGACTGTTATATCTGAAAAGCATGTCTATTCCTCCTTCTGTGTGGCATGTATAGTGTGTTTTCTGGTTGCGTGCAGGTTAGTTTTAGTCCAGTGTACAGAGGATCTGGCAAACGTTTTGCAAGTCTCTAAGAGTTAACATTCGAGGATGAATGTTTCTAAAGGGAGGGGGGGGGGGGGGGGGGGGTGATGTTACACCCCGTACTTTCATGTTAGAATGTGTCTTAAGTGAATCTATATAAGATGGAGAGTTTAAGGACCTATAATGATGAGTTAAAACAGGTGTTAAGGAAGTATCGTGAGGGTTGGAGGCTAAGCGAATAAAAGATGCTATAACCCGTACTTTTGGGGTAAAACTAAGAGTGCTTAAATTCTAAGGAGGTCTTATTTTAAAGTAATTGAATCATATAATATTTGTATGTTAAGTATTATTGTCAAACACGTTGTAAAACAAAAGTTGGCAAAGGTTAATGCTTGATACGTTCATAATTTTACTAAAATTTGGGTCTTATGTCACTGAGCTTTTCTCCCAATATACTTGGAGTTATGGGGTGGTCCACCTACCAAATTAAAGATCTACGAGTCTTTTACAACGTATTAAACGTTTTGTCAATATAATATCAGAGTAGAGAGATATTCGCGTTTCTGCAAGACTGCGCAGGCAGCCGACCCACATAGGGGGTGGACGTCCCTTG